TTTCATTGTGGTCACTCCTGTGAGTTATTCGAAAAGTATATATACCCCGAAATTTTCTGAGTTCTGGATCCTGGAAATTTTACATTTGTATCCTGAAAAACTGCTGGAATTCTGTTTTCTCTGAGTACTTCAACGAACCAAGCTATGTGCTGTACATGATAACGCATTGAGCCAGGTCATGCAAGACAAGAAACACAGAATTCTTTCATGGGAAGTCGCTATTTTGGCATTGCTGATCTGGTTAATACTTGTTTCAGACTGGTTCCCCGAGTACTTGCCGTCTTCGTGCACTACGAGCTCTCTTCGCCATTGCGCCTGGAGAGTTTATTGAAAAACTTTGTAACACTTCAGTCAGCGTTATCAGGTAAGATGAGAAGTGAGGATTGCGGTTACTAAGACGTTACTGTTATGTCTGGCAGTTTGGCGGTTTTAAGCCAGTTTTGAAAGTCTATATACGGGTACATTCGTATTTATCCGGCGGCTTACGGTTACGGTTATCTGGCTGTTTATCGCGCGGTTGCGGGAAATCATAAATTTAGCTCGCGGTTTTCGATTTTTGCGTGTTTTTGTGGCGGTCATTCAAACACAGAGCCCTCAAAACGTGTACTTTTACGTTTCGTTATAAACATCTCGAGCAATTTTGGTGTTTGTGAACCGCGCATTAGACGTCAAAACATTTTGTTCGCTGGTTCTTGGATTGAGTTAGGAACAATTCATTCTGTTCTTAAGATCTTGTGGTCTTTGTGAGGAGTATTAAATGATCGATCGTCGTACTAGTAAGGCGGTTTCAGTTTTTAAGAGAAAACGAAAGCGGTCTGCGGTTTCGAATGAACAAAATATGGCGGTTTGCGGAATGTAAGACCCCCTATGATAGACCCTCATTTCACTGGTATTAGAAACAACTGTACACCGATAGTAGAGAAGGAGGAAGGTGACCTAATGGTCAGCATCTGGGCTGAAGCATTGGTCGAAGCTCATTGTGTTCTCAGGGTTACCTAAATTCCTCAAGGTCAGGGAAAGGTCAGGGGATTTTATTTTTAGTCTGAGAAAATTGAAATTATAACACTGATGATTTAATACCATTAATTTCACCGTGATCTAAGCAATAGATCCTTTTCATAAATGGCTGCAATGTAAAGTTTTTTCATATGCATTTTTATTTGCCACACTAACTTTGTTTGAAAGTGAAAATTCTTTTGAGTTATCAACTTTTAAAAACGAGGTTGGCTGCCTAATTTTTAACACTTACAAAATAATTTATAATTGGCAGCCTTTTTTGAAAAGGGTCTATGTTTTATCTTAATAAGGAAGGTAAACCGTCACTGTCAAGGTAAAAGGACGGCTGTAAGGGAGGCTGGAGGCCGCTATCATATCTGTCATTTTGTGTTTATTGTCAGGGAAATTTCATTTTAATGCGGGAAAGTTAGGGAATTTTAAAAACGAAAGTCTGTGGCAACCACGGCTCACATCATGTGCTAGACATTTACAGGAGAAAAAATGTAAATGTAAATGTAATGTAATTTGTTTACCCACGGAGCACCAAGAACGGAAGGCGGAAACCCAATTTTTAAAAAGTCGTTCTTACGAAAGCATACGATACGTCACAATCAAATCGCTGTGTTTTAGGATGTGAACTTACCTTTGAACCTGATTGTAACAGCAAAAAGCTCCGTACCGGAACAATTTAAATGTCCGCCATTTTGGAAGCCATCTAGAAGGCTTGGGCGCATAGCATGACGTCACCGCACATACGGGAAAAATACGCGAATTTCAAGTACTACGTTTTAACTGAGATTGTAGTCAAATCAATTTATATCTAGCACTGTTTATAAGCTTGAAATGTTACGTTTGTGTATAATTGAATCTTATGGTGGAGGATTAACCGAGCTCAACGAAACGTTTGAAATAAATCTCACGGCTAGCAAATCATTTGTGACCATTTGTGTACAACGGCTGTTGCCACCCAGGAGAGTAATAAATAAATACCGAAAAATTGTTTTGGCAACTTGGCAAAAATGGTGGGAGAGAGACCTGGGAACGAGATTAGCATCCCATGCTTGGTGAAATAGTATTACTGATAACTTTTTTTTTCCTTTGTTACCGGTGGCAGACAGCAAATGCAGGCGCTAGTTTGTCTGGCGGAACTTGAAGGTCTACACATCCAGCAATCAGCAAGCACCTTTGACAAGTGCAACAAGGAGGGCCTGGTGCGAGGGCTGTGGAGGAATCACAAACACGAGAAGAAGGTTGGTGTTGTTAAGTTCAGATTCTTCTTACAAAGGGTGAAATATCATATCTTGCTCTGAAACAGGAGCAGTAGCACATTTCCGAGTTGCCTGAAGGCTCTCTATCAAGGCGAGGCCTGGTGCATAACCATTCATATGAAAATGAGTTTAATTTGTATGAATGAAATCTCATTTTCCTATGAAAGGAGGGACACCAAGACTCACTTTGAAAAAGAGGCTAAAGGTAATTCGGAATTGGCCTATTGAATGCGAGGTTGAGACTGAAATAGTCAAAACGCCAGGCAATGTAGCACATGAAATGTCATTGAGTAAAGTGTGCGCAAAGAATTTCTGATTATAATGCACCAAGTCATATCGTCGTCTCGCATTATTGCAAAAGTTTATTTCGCGTGTTAAAGAGGATTAGCTTTTTTCTGTTTTGTTTTTGTTTTTGTTGTTGTTGTTGTTGTTATTGTTTTCTGGGAATATTATTCTCGTCTCCGATAGACGGGTTAGCCAGAGAAGGTAAAGGAGTTTCGCTTTGGTTTACGTTTCAGGCCGTTCGTCTTGTAGCAGACCTGTGTCTGGACAATAACATACATGATTCTCAGCTATGGAACAGTGTCCTACAGCAGCTGTTGACATTTAGAATGGTTAGTTCTCATTTAAGGATTCGTTTTCAGTGTAGTCGCTGCGACGTGACNTGAATTTCTATGCTGGCATGACTTTTGGTCGTAATCGAGATATCAGTCTTCTTCAACCATTCTGGTGGGTGTTAGGATCACTTTCGCATGCTCTTTACTTGAAGGGATAATGTCAACCCTTAAAGTCTCGAAAATGAGTTTCGTAAGAGCCCTATTAATTTTGTGGAAACGAAGGAGGCGCTTATTACTTTTAAGGGGATTTTGAGGTATTTCACTTATGCGGTTGACCTTGAAATTTGCCCCGGCTTTATTGATGGTCGCCCAGTGACTCATTTTCTGTTACCTGAACATATGTGGCTGCGGATGGTTGTGGAATCAGATGATAAGAGTTGTCGGTTAGAGAACATTTAGTATGAAGGCTTGCTGGGTTACTTCTCACATGAAATGTACTGTAATGTCTGAGTTATAACCCTGGTTCTCAGTGTGATTTTTCTCTCTTTTTCTTTCCTTGCAGACACTGCTGGAGACGAAATGTGTATCTGACGTCCTAACTCAGCTGGACGAACAACGGAAGCGAGGACGCACGCTAACTCAGGCTGATATTGTAAGCAGTTTTTCCCTAAAACGCCCTCCTGTACACGAACTCCTGTACACGAACTCCTGTACACGAACTCCTGTACACGAACTCCTGTAACGTAACAGCAACCAATGGAAACGTTTCAATTATCCTGGGGTTCTGCTTTTGTTTACGTCTTGAAATTAGATCTTTGAACGGGAAAACCGCATGCACGAACTTAGGGCCGGAAGCTCAAATCCACGGTCGGGGACTGCCACAGAATTTCAAAGGCCTGACGNTGGTTCTCAGTGTGATTTTTTTTCTCTCTTTTCCTTTCCTTGCAGACACTGCTGGAGACGAAATGTGTATCTGAAGTCCTAACTCAGCTGGACGAACAACGGAAACGAGGACGCACGCTAACTCAGGCTGATATTGTAAGCAGTTTTTCCCTAAAACGCCCTGAATTACACGTCGATGCAAGCATAAACACGAACTCCTGTAACGTAACAGCAACCAATGGAAACGTTTCAATTATCCTGGGATTCTGCTTTTGTTTACGTCTTGAAATTAGATCTTTGAACGGGAAAACCGAATGCACGAACTTAGGGCCGGAAGCTCAAATCCACGGTCTGGGACTGCCACAGAATTTCCAAGGCCTGACGAATTGTTCGATTCTCCTTGTGAGGTTGTTTTCTTCTCAAGCCATGACAGCCGCCCTATCCTCTTCCAACTTGTGGCCTTGTCCCTAAAGTGTTTGAACTAACATTTACAACAATTCCTTTCTCAGGCTTAGTAGTCCAGGAAAGTTAGTTTACTTTTAGTTTGGTGAAGAGCTTAGGGTGTGTGTTGGGTTTGATAAGTGGAAAGATAATTTGGGCTTTCTTCGAATTCTTTGCGTAGTTTGGTGTTGAACAATTTTGGTCCCGAAGGTTTCAGTTAAATTAAGGAAAATTAAATCAAACTTTATCAACGCTTGATACTTAGTTTAGTCGTCAACATATCACACATAAAATTTACTTCGTTCGCTTGCCAAACAGAGGTCAGAAATACTAAAGCATTTTTTGCTGACCTCCAAGCAACATCATCATTTAGTGGACGTCTTTTTTGTGTGACGATCCTCCATCCCCACCCCCACGAGCTGCAGGTTTAAGTGCCCCGTAGCATCCCTTACTAAGTTAGGATTGTGTGGTATCTAATTGTTCTTCACTGTTTGAATTCTTTAGGTTGAACAGGAAGTGTTCAAATATGTCGAGCAAAAACAAGAGTATGAAGTAAGTGCTGTGGAAAGCTTCATTTACCAGCCTGTCGTAACGGTTGAGGAAAAGGCAAGGGAATAGGCCATTTCTGGGTTTTGTAATTTGCCTCGAGAGCCTTTTCAAGTGCCTCTGTTTCAAAACGAGTCCTTGTGTGAAACTTTCTATATAAAAATAAGTGATAAACCTATTTTCATATGAATGGTTTCGAACGAAGACTCGTTTTCACACAGAGGTAGTGGGAAACTCGGAAATGGCCTCATAAGTGTTATGCAATGCACAGTAGGCTAATTTCATAAAATTTGTCTTTAAAGTTAGGTTGCTCTCAGAGCCGATCCTTTTCCTCAAGTTTTGGAGCCTAAAGGGGCTTGTGTTGTTGCTTCCCCTCAGTGCCTCGCATGTTACTCCTCAGGTTGTTTGTCAGTTTCAGTTTCGTAACCCACAGATACTCGTTTAACCTACTGGTTGTGGAGAGCCACTAGGAGGGTCAATTGTTTTGTCACGGACCCCCTTGAGTCCGGAGGACCTCTCAATACGGAGTCTAAAGCAGCGACGGTGTGTTTCCTGAAAAGTGGTAATGAGAACAGGACAGTGGAGTGCTCTATTCCATCTTCAATGCTATTGCTGGCTAGCGAACGCCTCTCTCTGTAGTTTTGCAGTCTTTTCTTGCTTTCTGCCTGATTCGTTCGCTTGATTTGTTCTCTGATTATGGAATTTCAAGTTGAACAAGTCAGAGTAAAGTGGTGACCTTCAAGGTTCCTTTTGTCGACATTGACCAGAAATATGGGCGCACAGCCCTAAGGTTGATTCGTCGACATGAGCGTTGCTCACGCAAGCTCGCACGCTATACCAACCCTCTCACCTTTCTCACAAGGTGTATTAAGAACCACATTGTTCCAAGAGATCTGTAAGTTCGGCCGCCAGTTCCCACCAGAGGCGCACACAGAGTCGCTGAACTAGCATCCATGAGATTCCTGAGGGAAAGAATCCGACTGACGCAGAGAGCCAAGGGAGATACGAAGAAAGAAGCCGAATCAACAGCACAGAGCATAACATCTGCTCTTTCTGCGGATGACGCTGCAGACGTGCTCGACAAGGTTAAATCCACTACCCAGCGAGTCTTT